TTAGAGAGAATAACAAATCAGTATCTTTTAATCTCAACATTTTTAAACATTCAGCTCAATGTCAACAAAGAGAAAGGTAGAAAGGTAGTATTTAGTAAAATGAAATGTGTTTTAAAAAATATTTCAGGAAGCTGCAGAATGGCTAACGAATGCTTCTTGATAAGCTTGCAGTGTTAATTCTATATACGCTCCCTTCTGTGCTTCTGTTTTTGCAAAGACCTTTAAAAAAAAAAAAGTTTTAAAGCAATAGGACATACAGTATTCATAAAGTTTTCAGTTTTAAGACATCATTAACATTTCTGTAGTAGCAAAGCCCAGTTAAAATGGCTTCCAAGTTTCACAATAATTTTTTCCCTTGATAATAAGACAATAAGCATACATGGACAGAAAAACAGTATGCAACACAGTTTAAGCAATACTAATTCTAACCACCAGAAGTATCCTGTTAGGTTGACTTCTTTTTTAGCCCAGTACCCCCACTATCCAAACCTCTCTCAACTCCAGCTGCCAGCACACCCACTACCGGACCTATTTTACTGCATTCCTCCTCCATCCTGACCATCTGTTTCTATTGTCCAGGCTGAAGAAATATGCAGGCTGTAAACACACTGTTTTCAAGACCACAAATGTTCTGTATTCACAGATCTTTTTAGTTACCAATAAAAAAATCTTTTTAGTTACAACTTCTCAACTTTTCCCAACTCAATTACCACCACAAAATAGCCAATGTGAAAAAAGAGCCTTTACCTTAATTAAATTTACTCCTTCAGCAGCCTGCTCTTTGGCCTCTTGAGCGGACTGGCCATCTGGATGGAGTATGTGATACAGGTGGACCAAGCTGGTGGCATCATCGATTCTGCAAGTGAAAGGCTTAGTGTTATAAAGCGATTTCTGCATTTGCTTCACAGTCCTAGAAAAGTGTATACCAACATCAAACTAAGTTATATTTCAGTCTTTCCTCGAGATGGGGGAAGGGAGCCTTTAGTTTTATAGTTCAAAAGCATTTTCAGGAAAATTGACTAATTTAGGCCTCGCAACAGTTCTGTGAGGCAGGGCAGGAGTCACTGCAGGAAGTGCCAAATTCATGAAAGTGAATATTCCAAATGTGGCTGTATTCTTTTTGGAAATGGAGCATCATTTCTCATAGAAACAACATTCCTAATGGTGGTGATTACCAGGGCAGTCTACTTCCCCAGCACGTGTAGTGTAATCCAACTCAGAGAGCAGAAATATAACTTAATCTTACATAAGCAGGAGGCTGGTGACCACAGGGAATCCTCTTGCCTTTAGTGACATCTACTAACAAATTTTCATTGAGACTGAATTAGTGGATAAGCGCCTCTACAAGAGGCCCTCCAGGATTCTAAGGAAAGACTCTCAGGCCACCTAACTATTCACAGGAACCCATTAGTTAAAAATTAGCAACCTAGTGCAACAAATTCAAAAAAATGCACATAAGACAAAAGGAAAGTCGGGTTCTACATTAGCAATTGTCTACCTTTAGTGTCGCACAACTACCCATGATGAAGTCAGAATAAGAATTCAATTTTTCTGGTTTTTTCTTACCTTTTTAGAAATGTATAAACAATTTTTTATCAACATTAAAACTTCTCTACCCTTCCCTAAACGAAACAATCACTATCTTCTCACACAGTCAACACCTTCCTACCTTTGCCACCTCATAGCTGGGGGATGGGGGGAGGTAGATAAAAACAACCCTTCCAAAATTCTCATGTTTTTGAGGCTCTGCTACGTACACCACTACTTAGCTAGTGGCTTCTTGTTGGGGGTGGAGGGGTGAGGGCACCCTAATTCAGTGTTTCCCCCCAGCTACCTCTCTTCAACCTTCCCTGCTTTCCCTACATGAGCTGGGGGATAAAGAATAGGTGACAGTGGGAGTAGGTACAGAATTCCTCAAGCCACAGTGACCTTAGTGAAATGCTCTGGACTTACCCCAAGGCCCATCTACCCTAAAGGCCATCTCTTGGGAAAACTAAGAAACCAGAGCTGCTCCCATAGTAAAGCTTTCAGGGGGGAAAAATAAAAATGTTATTACAAATCAGTTGTGCCTGTTATAATCTAACCAAGCCCAATAAATGTGGCAACAAACTATCTCTCCAAATAAAAAATTAAAATTTCCCTTTAGAGCTTCAACATGTGGCTCTATAAAGAGCTTGACTGGATTTCTGTTTATTAGAATTATGTTTAGGGCTTCATTAGGTTCATGGTGAAGTATAATGCCTGCATCTCACAACAGTTTAAATTTAGCTTAATACCCAGCCCATACTTGAAATTAGGAGCAAATAAATTTATATTTTCAAAAAAATTTTAAAAGGATTTCCATACAAAACCAATAGTGGGACTTGACTCTGAAATAAATGTGTGCAGAATCCTAATTCTGGCTTGGGTTCCATTCAGCAAGGATGTGCACCCTCTATTGTCCAGCCTGGGGTTTGCAGTAAGCTCACTGCTATTCAGAATTACCACAGGAGGGGTTTTACATACCCACAAGCAGGAAAAGTTATAGATGTACAGCTTACATGTGATAATGAGTAATACTATAATATCACCTATTAGTACACATCAATAAAGAACTTCAGTTTTCAAACTTAACATTTCTGTGTTGCTCTAATTATTTACAAAAACATCATTTTAATAATGTAATTTCAGAATGATTACATTTGAGAAACTTTATAAGTAGAAAAATCATTCATAGAAGGCAGGTCACTTTTGAGCATCCCCATCACCACCCAACCCCCTGCTTATGGGGATGAAGGTATATTTCTGCTCTCTGAATTGGATTACATTAAATATTCTGGTGAAGTGGGCTGGTGTGTGTGGAAATCATCACATTTAAGAATGTCATTTCAGTGAGAAATGATGCTGTTTCCAAAAATAGGCTGATTTCTTAGACAATGCATGTGGAACCTTCTAGTTCCAAATGCCTTACCTTTGTGTGTCTTGTTCGGATTACAAGTAGGATACTCTGTGAGTCAAAAACTCCTAAGAGTCTGAAGGTGGCAATAACCACTAAACCCTCTTCTTGCAGTTCAGACTTTACAGTCCAGCAAGGACTTTTTGTGGAAAATTGACTTTCTTACTACAGCCATGCTGGTGTCCTTTCCTTATCCTACCTTACCCAACTGATAAAAAGATGCTCAAAGACAATTTTGTCTTCAGTTTTATCACTAGTTATAAACTATACTATTATTTCTAGCTAGAAGCCTAGGCGCATACCAGTTTGATGCTAAAATACAACAGACATTGTTTCATGCTACTTTGAAAAAAAAAAAACTTTTTTAATGCCTTAAAAATCTTGGAAAGGGATTTCAAAAGCAAAAGTATTTTCATAAGTTAAATGATGACTTTTACTGAAAAGCCTAAGAAATAGTTCTGCCAGAAAACAAGCACCCACCAGAGCTTATGTCTACTTCTTTACATTTCCTATTTAATCCTTTGAGTATTTGGAAAGTTCTTTGATAGCCAGCAGCACTGGCGAGCCCAGGATAAATCAATACTCAGGATATACAGTAAAGATCCAAAGTCACTGTTTCAAAGAATCTAGCCCTGCTTATGCAACACAAAAGCAAAGACGGGGAAAACTGGGTTATGCTGGAAGAACAAACCTCATGCGTAAACTGAGGGAAGTGAAAGCTTCATTTTGTCACTGGATGATATACCGTTATCACTGGAAAACTACTATAGCTTAAATACAAATTTACTATTAAGGCAATAAGAATGATTCTTTACTTACTAAGATCATACTTACAAATCTCTCTGAATCTGGTCAATCAGCAAACCATCAATCTTTTTCTTATTTACAAAATACCAAGCCATTCCACCAAAGTGTCTTGTTGAGCGTAAAAGGTCATACTTTCCATGTTTATCTATATCTTCATAGGTCTGGTGATGAACCTATCCACATAAAATGCATCTTCAGAAACATGAAAATAAAAACAAGTGAGCAGCATTACTCGATAGGCACTGACTACCATGAGTGCTGCCCAAGAAAGTATGAGTGCAACTAGGTCTATTTATAGCTGCCTCCACTATCATTAACCAATAGGTATGATTTAGACCATTTCTTGTATAACCCACCTTAGGTTCTATTACAAAAGAAGAGTTTGTCCAAATGACAGCAAGTCTGTGCCTTGTCCACTGTAGAAGTGTGTGGTAGCCTGGAGTAAGCTATACCAAATATTTATAGCCCTATCAATTACTTTTCAGCAGCCAAAAGCACTATTTACTAAGTATCCATTACACACATACAGGCTATCGGAAATAATGTATCACCGTTTCTTAGTCACTAGCAGAAAAAAGAAATCAAGTGTATTTTTTCACTCCTCTGCTTCTCCCCTATCCCATCAGCTAAGCCATTCTGTCTTATTAACTAATGTTCTTTCAGTTCTCCCTGCAGATTGACCTTCCTAAATGAGGACTATGACGAGGGCATCCTCTGTTCAGAAGGCTTTCCAAGGCTTACTGACTTTAAGTCCAGATTCCTCAGCCCAGTATCTAAGGCCACCTGTGATGTGTCTCCATCCACCTTTCCAGCCTAAATTTGAACCACTTGGCTACAAATATGTTCCATGTACAAGCAAACCAGACCAGCCATTTTTCTCAAGCAAGCATCTGTTGCTCACTGTTCTCTCTATCTGAACACCTCTCCTCAACCAACTCCACCTGCCACAATGTTCCCTGCCCCTGTAGAACCCTCTCTCCTGTGAACCCTTTTCTGAGGGCACCTTGTAACCTTCTCTCAGCACCTAACGTTTCATGGGTGAGGTGACACTTATCTCTAGCACTGTCTGCCACAGTCGCTCCTGGACTGCAGCTGTGACAAAGCCCCTGTCCTAGCTCATGCCTCACCTATGCCACCCTTGATTGCACCTCACACACAGCAGGTGATGATGATACTCACTATTGTGAGTGGTAAGACACACACACGGCACTCTGACAATTTTAGTAAATAGCTTAGAACGTTATTAGCTTTGTCATCAAGTCTGGGTAACCCTACCGCTTACTATACTGTATAACATTCAGCAAGCTACATAACTCTCCAAGCTTAAATTCCCTCATGCTTAATGAAACGTGGCTGTGAAATTGAAATACACATCTGGCAGACATCTGTACTCAGATTTTCAGATATTTCCTTTCCCTTCCCCCGTGTATCAATGCCTATAACCAAACTCCTTGTGCTAGATTTAAAATCCTACTCATAACCATACTTAAGCCTATAATTTAGAAACTATAAAATATACTCACCTTTATATACTCAGCAGAGTCTGGCTCAAACTGGGCAACACAGAGATTGAGGACATCAGCATGCCGGTCCTTGCTGTACATGGTCTAAAATCACACAGCAGAGTTGGAACCAGAGGAGAACACTTAAGTTCAGCACCTGTCCTGACACCATGACAGGCCACATCTGTACCCATCAAGAGGCATAAAGAAACGACATGGGCTTTGTAATTGTCACACCTGAATTTGAATCCCAGTTATGCCAATTACAAGAGAGAGAGCGCTAATCCGGGTACTGTTAGAAATGTTTGTCTGTGTTGATTGAGGCAAAATGCCAAGCAGCACCAGAGCCAACTGGATTCAACAAAGAAATCATCACCACTGACTCTAGGATATAAAACCTAAGTCGCCTTACCTTAATGTTTTCCTCCTTGAAAATTACAGGTGTCAAAATTCTACGACCTTCTTTTGGGAAATAAACTTGTATCATCCGGTCCCGTTCTTCCCAAGAGGCTTTGCGTAGCGTGCCACTTGGTTCTCTGACAACGATAAAACGCTCCTGAGATAGAAAATATAATCAAGGATGACTTTGTGAGGACTTATTTTTAGATCCTGTGTCCCACTAAGACTATTATAAGAATAATCTACAATCAATAATATAAAGTGCAAATGGGAAACAAAATGTAATCATGCATATGAGTTCACTGATAATTTTAAGCCTCAAAGACTTGCCAAGGCTTGACACGCCCTTCACTAATCACTGCTGTGCATCTGACAATCAGAAATCTAAAATAAAAGTACTTAGTAAGTACCAACTATAGTGCTAATATGGGTTCAATACATAAAATGGTTCACCTAAAAAAAGCTGATCTGAGATTCATCTAAATCGATTTTAGAGGAAAGAAGTGCTATAAGACCTTTTCTAATTATTTCATTTACCCATTCCAAAGTCTCACCTAAACAGGTATACTACTTTATCTATGCTTAAAATCCTTGGGATAAAGGAACAAACCCAAGAGTATGGCACCTCTATGATTTCTCATATTGGCATCAGACATAAATATGTCAAGAGACTGACTGGTCCACCCGCCTCTGGTCTCTTCACTCTTGCAACAGCCAAATTCCAGGCCATGGGATCACTTCCTCCTCTGAATTCTAACCACTGTTTATACCATTAAACTGGCAATTTATCATGTGGAAGACTCTTGACATCTCTCAGAAATGGTTAAATATCTGGAGGAAATGTGGATTATAATTCTTTGAAACACCCAGAGTGACATACAGAGTTTTGCACATTGCTGATAATTGACACACACCTGATTAATGTATAAATTAACCAGATGGTACTAACTCTCAACTTTTTCAGAGATGTAAGAGCCTCAGAATGTGTTCTGAGGATAATATAAATAAAACTTTCATCAAGCACTTCGAATAGAAAAAAAAAAAATAGATGCCAAAATAACACAATTTTTCTTCTAAAGGATTTTGGTAATTTGAGAAACCTGAATTGCAAGTTCCTTTTCCCCTTTCAAGTTGTAAAATACTTCCACAACCAGCCTTCATAGCAGTGCACCACAAAACAAAAATTCTTATTAAAATGAAAACTCTGATCCCCGTTCATTATGTCAGACATGGAGATGGCTGGTGTAGACATGAACATAGTACAAATCATGTCTTCCTAGCATGATCATCATAAAATACTAATATGGAGTGGTCCTTCTCCCAAACTCAGCATTCTTTAGGATCCTAATGCATTTTGTGGGCCAAATTATAAATTATCTTTTTATTCTTTATTTACAAAGGTTCAAATACAAAATTGTTATGTTTTAAAGTGCCAGAGTGTTCTTTTAAGTTGGCAATCAAGGGAAGAGGAGCCAGAAAATAATGATTAAAACAGACAGAGCAGTGATGTCCGAAAAATTATCTGAGAAACATCTGTCCTTCCTACTGAAAATTCTGGAAAGTGAAAATCTTTTGGGAAATCTAAGTTTCTTGACATCATCAAGGAAGGTACAGGATACAAATACTCCATCTTCTCAAAAAGCTTCAGCTAAGGAAATCAGTCTTAACAGGCAAAACAAATTTCCTTCTCCCACTGCCTTATAGATTTTTTGTCTCTGTGGTTTTGGGATGGGTTTCTGTCTATATACCCCTTGTTCTATCTCAGCACATCTGTCTCTTTGCAGTCAATATGGAATATATACTTTGTCCAAATCTGAAGGGAAATGGCAGTATAATGATGTAGGGCTGGTCTTCTTTTCTCATCCTCCTCATACTGCATCTTCCAGAAGAGTCTCACCCAGTCACACAAATTCTGGTTTGGAAGCATTAGAGACAGCCAGGTCACATCAGATAAGCCCTCAGGCCCACCTCCACATGGCAATTCAAACTAAGGTCATTTTGCAATTAGACATATACTCACCCGGTGTGGTATGCTGTATGTTATATCAGTAAACACATATTTGTGTGTTTCTGTTCCTTCCAAGATTTTATCTTCAGCTAACACATCATTTATTGGTGCTCGCTCTTCCAGAACTGGTGGCATTTTTAACCGTTCCTTAGCTATTTCAACTGCCTGTCTTGTAGCCTATTGACATAAAATATTTCTTAAAGAAAGCCACAAGATTACAGACCAAAAGCAGATACTAATAAAAATGCTAAAGACTGCAAAGAAAAGAAGCTGTAGCCATAAATCAGTGAGTGAAAAGTCAAACTTGAACTTGTGGGCCCTGGCCTTTGCCTCTGCAGAGTGGCTGAGTGCACCAGCCACACACTAACCTGTTATTCCTTTGTTTTAAACAGCAAAGGAATTCTCAGAGGCCCACACACTAACCTGTTATTCCTTTGTTTTAAACAGCAAAGGAATTCTCAGAGGCCCACACACTAACCTGTTATTCCTTTGTTTTAAACAGCAAAGGAATTCTCAGAGGCCCACACACTAACCTGTTATTCCTTTGTTTTAAACAGCAAAGGAATTCTCAGAGGCCCACACACTAACCTGTTATTCCTTTGTTTTAAACAGCAAAGGAATTCTCAGAGGCAGAGCCAGGACACAAAAGCTGTGTGAAATAGAATAAAGGATTGCCTTTATTGGGGGCTTACTATGTGCCAGATATTGTTCAAATACTGTGATATATTTGGCTCATTTATACCCATAACTACCTTAGGAGCTAGATGCTATTGTTATCATCTTTGTTTTAAGGAAGAGAAAATACAGGCACACAGATGTTAAGTAAATTGCTAGGAAGTTGCAGCACTTGGACTTGAACCCAGGCAACCCAACTTCAGAGCCCATGCTCTTAACCCCTGACTACACTGCTTCATGCCATACTGTTAACAGTGCTTACCTCTGAGAAGGGAAAAGGGGACTTTCACTCTTCATGTGATACACTATTGGATATTTGAATTTTTTGGTACAACTATAAATCACTTTTGAATCAGAAAGAGTATTAATGCTTCACATATTCATACATCAAAGTGTTTTCCACAAAGGACTCTGTATCCATGGCTCCAGGAGGACACTGGTGCCTGGAGTAAGATGTTGTTCAGTGGAATCTCATAATCTCACCAAAGCTTCAGCCACAGGGCAGCTCACAGCAGATGTTTCTTCAAGAAGGAAGCTGGAGCAGGCAGGAAAAAGGAAGGATGCTCAGACTGGCTTGGGAGCAGAGAGCAGACTCTGCTTGGACACCCAGACCTTACCCATCTGTTCAATTCTGGCCTTGCTCCCTGCTCCTCTCGCCTGCCTACTCACATTTCTTTTCCCAATTCTGTGCCTGGTAGTCCCCTCTCTAGCCTGTGGAAGAGCAGCTAAAAGCATCTGGAGGGGCCTCTGGAAATCTTGTATAACCCCTTAAAGAAGGGTCTCTCTTTCCGAGAGGTCTGTCAGTATTTCTGTATTCACATACCTCTTCCAACTGTGCCTGGGTCATTAGCTTATAGGTTGGTGGCTTCAGTTCTTGTATAGCTGGCTTAAAGGTCTTCTGCAAGTTCAAGCCTGTCATCTTAATGAGTATGCTCTGGACTTCCTCATCCATAAATGCAGGTTTCTTGATCTCCGAGCTACCAGATGCTGCTAAAATGGATTTTAGCAAATAAGAAGCTGGCAAAAATGATAAGCCAACAAGATCTCTAAGTAGAAAAGTAAGTTAATAAAAACCATTAGCACAATGTCTGCCTCAGCACTGCATAATGCTAATAGCTATGAGACTCATTCATCCATTCATTTAAAACTTACTGAGCATTCTTTATAATGAGGACATAGACACAATCTGCCAAAAAGACAGTCTACTGGAGGAAGCAATAGGAAACAAGTAATTAACAATAATAATAGCAATGGTCACTACCATTTAGAGTTGTCTCCTACATGCCAGGCATAACACATTTTCAGGTATGCTTATGACAACCCACAAAATAGTACTGAGTATTGATATCCCAATTTTATAAATGAGGCTGCTGAAGCCTACCCCAAGGCAACTAGCTATTTAGTGATAGAGCCAGAATTTACAGCAATTTACAGGTTTGTCTGGTTTTAAAGCCTAGATCATTTCCAGTCTACCATGGTGCTCCTCGATTAAGTGCTATATACAAGGGAGGCACAGGGGCTTCTGTGACTACGGAGGAAGGAACTAAACATAGTCTGGGAATAGGAAGAGCATGACAGGGTCAAAGGCAGCTTCCCAGGAGCCTCAACAAGGGGGAGATAAAAGGGAAAGAAATGCTAGACTGAAGTGTTGCAGCTAGGAAAGAGAGACTTAGATCACTGGACCTGATACTGAAGAGGCCGTGTGGAAGAACTCTGAACAGGAGAGGAGACTCAGATCTAAACTCTGCCTCATGCAGTTTGCCTATTCCTTTGCCTGACTTCTATTTCCATTACGAAAAAAGAAAAAGCCATTTGTTCCCAGTGACCTCTTCCCCTGCTAGTCCTGTAAACCTTGGTGTTCTTCAGGATTCTAAACTATGTCCTTTTCTTTTCTCCCTTCTCACATTCTCACTGGATGATCTACTATGACTTTAATTACCTTTATATGCTAGAGACTCTTTAAAATGTGAATCTCCAGCCAAAATTATCTTCCATCCAACTACCCAATGGTCATCTCACATGCACTTCAATATTGCCAACTAAGAGCCTATCAATTTTCTCTCATCTCAAACCTGCTTTTCCTGCTGTTCCATATCACAGCACCATCCAATCGGTCATGAAGGCTAGAAACCTTACAGTCATTCCTGACTTCACCTTACCCTCCACATCTAGCCAATAGCAGTAGTAATCAGAACAGTCATAACAACTATGATTTATTAGATATTTACTATGTGCTAGTCCTTACTAAGATACGTACCCTATGTGCTCAGCACAGTTAATCCTCAAAACAATGCCATGAGGTAAATACTATGATTACCCTCATTTTACAAAAAAATTAAAAGACAATGACAGAACATACTGTCTGTTATACCTCATAAATTTTTTTAATCCTTTATTTCCCACTGCCACTACACTATCAAGACCATCCTTATCTTTTGCCTTAGCCTCCCTGACTCCATTCTGGCCCGACTTCAGAACATTCTCCAGAGCAACCAGGGTAATTTCTTAAAAATGTAATAAAGATACTCCCAAGGCCGGCCCGTGGCTCACTCGGTAGAGTGCGGTGCTGATAACACCAAGGCCACGGGTTCGGATCCTATACAGGGATGGCCGGTTAGCTCACTGGCTGAGCGTGGTGCTGACAACACCAAGCCAAGGGTTGAGATCCCCTTACCGGTCATCTTTAAAAAATAAATAAATAAATAAATAAATAAATAAATAAATAAAATAAAGATACTCCCAAGCTTAAAACTCACCAATGGCTTCCAATATCATTTAGGAAAACAAAGCAAAGGTGTTCTGCTTACTTCACTGTGTCTCCTACGAGACGATGTGCTCTCTGAAGACCAGAACTCCCCATCTCTGGCACCCAGAGGCCCTTTAGAGTGTCCAACACACAGGAGGTGCTGAGAACTACTCTCTCCTCAAGACATTCCTACCCATTCTCCCAGCTTTGGTTACATTTTTAGTCCGATGTCCCTCAATTTATATCTAACTGCATACTGAACACTTGAATCTCAAAGGCACCTCAAATTTAATGTGTCCAAACTAGGTCTCCTTTCCCATCTCTTTGCCTCATCTATTCTTAAATACTCCACCCCACCCCACCCCGCCCCCCAAAATAACTGTTGCTAGAATTAATCTTCATTTTGGTACAAATGGGACTACCTCCTCCACTCAACTACTCAAGCCAGGAACTTAAGAAACAACGCTGATTTTTCCTTTTAAATACAGACCTAAAGCCATAGCCAAGCCTTATTAATCCTACCTCCAAAATGAGTTCCTCAAATACCTGTATTCAGTCTCACTTGTGGACACTTGCTTATGTTGTCCCCTATGCTTGGAAGGCGTCTTGCTTCCTCCTTAGCATGGTTAACCAGGTCTCAGCTTCGGTCATATTTTCCAGAAACCTTCCCTGCCCTTCCAACCTAGTTTGCATGCCTCTGCTATATGCGTCCCCTATCACGGCACGTGTCACACTGCACTGCCAATTCGCCACTGGATCAGGAGTTCCCTCAGGGAAAAGCAGTGGCAGTCTTAGTTCGCCGTATCTCCTAAGCTTAGCACAGTCTTGTGCAAGGAGCGGAGCTCAGTCCCTGATGGCTGAGTGAATGAACGAACAGATACAGGCGATAACAAACACTGCAGGTACAGAAAGAAGCCGACTGAGTCTGAGGACTCTCTACGAGCACAGCCGCGGGGGCCGCCGCACGGTTTCCACCAACCAGGAGCAGGTTCTAGGTCTCCCGGGAGGTCACTTACCAGCCTCGGAGCCGAGCCCGCGGGATGGCAGCCCCACCTCGAAGGGCCGGAGCAGCGGTTGGAGTAGGGAACCGAGCCGGGGCTCAGTTCGGGCCCGGAAACAGATCCGCTTCGTACCCCCAGAACCTGTCAGGAGAATGCACAGACCTACTCGACTCCTGAGGGCCGCCATGATTATCCGAGACCGCTTGCACAGGAAGCGGCTGGAAGCAACTTCCGGGTCACGCGCAGTTCGTGCGGCATTCCGGGAAATGTAGTCTAGTTGAGGTCGGAGTGGCTCGGAAGTTTTCCTAATCTTTATAGACCGCTTCTTCTAGATCGCTCGTTCACACGTAGGTGTTCATGTACCTCCCTATGCATACAACTAACGATAAAACTTACACCTTTTCCCCTGTGTGCTCTTTTTCCTGGGCCTTTTATTCATTTCCATGGTTCTATATAACAAATTTCCACTTCCTGCCCAAACCTTTTCTCCCATCCCCAGGTTAAAATCTAACTGCCTATTGGACTTCTCCATTCAAACTTCTCACACACAACCCAAATCTAACTCTTGATTCTGAGCCCTGATTACCACCACCAGCAATTCATACACCTTATTCTCTGTCTCATAACTTACTCCTTGCCTTTATAGCCCTCTTCACAATTTGTGATTATTTTCCTCATTTATCTGCTTATTTATTTTTCTCACACCATGAAGACAGTGAGTGACTATGTATTTTATATCACCTAGCATAGTACTCAATGCGCATGGAAAACATTTGTTGAATGAATAAATGAATGAGTGATTGAATAATTCTGTTCTTTTCCAACTGTCCAGGATGTGGGGGTCTTATCCTCTATACCATAGGCTGGTGCCTGTGCTAAGCATTTATCCTAAGGCCTGCCAAAAGAAGGTTAAGTAAACACTTGTTTGAATTAGCTAGATGGGTAGACTCACCTAACCTCACCTCTCTTTTCTCCACTCCCCATTAAGAGCTCTGTTTATGAACTCATTTCCTATTTGGGTAAAGGGAAGGAAAAGCTCTAGGCTTGGCACTGATTCAGGCTGCAGATGACTGCTGCCCCAGGCTTTCCAACACTCTCTCTCACACCTACATGCTAGCAGGTGTCAGGGAGTAGTAGTGGAATACTTGCAGGTATCTCCCAGCCTATGCCTTTTCTCTGAGTGCAGGCCTCAGTGGCTTTGTTTTTCCTATAACTATCCCTCTGGACACAGCTCATTAGACAATGGGTAGACACTTAATGCAGAAGGCACAAATTCACTGGCTGCTGTATTACTTTTCTGTGGCTGCTATAACAAATTACCACAAATTAAATGGCTTACAATAACAGAAGTATATCCTCTCACAGTTCTACATGCCAGAAATCTGAAATCAATATCACTGGGCTGAAATCAAGGTAACTGCAGAACTCTGCTCCCTTCAGAGGCTCTCAGAAAGAATCTGTCTTTTGTCTCTTCTAGCTTCTGGTGACTGCAAGCATTCCTTGGCTTGTGGCTACATCACTTCAATCTCTGTTTCCATTTTCACATCAGCTTCTCCTCTTTTGTTTGTGACAAATCTCCCAGATAATCCAAGATAATCTCCTCATTTTAAAATATTTATTATGGTAACTAAAATTTTTTCTTTATTAGTACTCAAAATCATGACTGCAATGAAGTACGCATACCCTTAAACCAGTCTCAACTCCATGAAACGGCATGTCAGGAGTTTCCCTTTCTTTTG